TTTCATAATACTAAACAAGATAAGAATTTATATCCACATTTTATCGAAAAATGTAATAAAATGAAATAAAATACAGATAAGTGCTTAAATAATATAAAGTAATTTTAAAATGTAGCGTGGGCCAGAAAAATAAGGTACGCGGGCTGCATGTGGCCTACGGACAGCCAGTTGCCCATCCCTGGTATATATTATTAATTATATTAAGTAAATATTAGTAGTATGTCTTACCGTCTTTTTGAAAATAAAAATGACAATAATAATATTAATAATTTGTTTTAAGCTGTTAACTGACATTTTCATTTTTTTTTAGTTTTTTTTTGCTATAAATGTCGATAAAAATTTATTTGTAGGGTAGAAAAGCTTGAAAATTTAATGCAAGGCTTCTAACACATTTTGACAATAGCAGTTGAAAAATATTTAATATATACATAGGCATGATATTTTTTTATAAGCAATTGAAGTTCAAATTTTGACCAAATACGTAAAAATTACGGCAAAGTTTAATATTATCATACATAGATATTCATAAAAGTTTTCCTTTTTAAATCTAAGATTGGAAAATTTAATACCAGTCTCCTAACATTTGTTTACAATAACAATTGAAAATTAAAAGAAATACATAGTCACATTTTTTTTTTTTTATATAATCATTTAAATTTAAATTTTGACAACATACGTTACAAAAAGTATATTTTATAATTCCCAATAGACCAACAAAATAAATTTGAGAAAGAATATATCCTTCACGTAAATTTATTAGGTAACGTTAAAAATGTATTATAAAGATGAATGAAATTTCAAATTGAAACAAAAGGTATTTCTTANTCTGGGTCTGTAAAAAAATATATATTAATAAACAATGGTTATTATAATATTATAATTATATTTAATTTTGAAATTATCTAAAAATTGTATCTAASRWGATTATTAAATCAAAAGATTAAGAAGAAAAAAACTATTGTCAAATGATAATAATGAGCAAATTGTTATGATAGACTTATTTTAAAGTTACAGCAGAGCCTCGATAGTCCGGACCCCCGATAATCCGGTGAAGGTGGTAATCCGGACGACAAAATTCCATTTGTTCGTAAATAAATTGTACGAAAATTCTCGCAACCCAATTAATGCATAAAATATTGTTAAAATACAATTTCGTTATTTTTATTACCTACTGTTCCTAGTAAAGACCTATACATGTATGTAGGTACGTAATACTAGTGAAATAATAGTGAAATAGTATTGAAATAAAAAATAAAATCTTAGTAATTTTAGTAGGTAATTTTGAAAAACCTCCGGTAATCCAGAAAAATTGATAATCCGGACGATGTTTGATCTGAATTCGTCCGGACTATCGAGGCTCTACTGTAATTGGTGGAGCTGAAATTATGATAGTGATATGCTAATGAGCATGGCGAGTGGCGTAGAAATATCTTATCGGTCAGGTTAGGTTCTCACCYGTCTTCCCCGCTCACCACTCCATTCTTTGTGTTTAATTGTTAAATTATTATAATTGTTTTCTTATTTATTCTCCTTGTTATATGTTCTCTGTTTAAAATTTTTTCTGTCATGATTTGATTTTTTCTATTATAGTAAGTCGCATTGTGCGCAATAATCTCAAAACTGAGTATCGTACCTTTTTTACTTGTCTTTGTAGCCAATGCGGCACGAAATTTATTATATTTGTTTCGCCATTAAGGCATAAAATCATTGGTGGGATTTTTTTTAATTTTATTCCATCGTCCGACTTGTCATGTGCGACGATAGCCACGTAAGTATCCACTGAATATGTTCTTTGTCGTCACTCACGCGATCTCAGGACTCATCCGTTGAGTTTTCGTGGATAAAATCACGCTTCCGCAAGACTGCCAGAAATCGCCAGGGTGTGTGAAAGGCCGCTTACATCGTTGTGCTGTTCATTCTGCGTAAGTGCGTAAGACCGCCAGCACTCGTCGTGGTGTGTGGGAGGCCGCCCAGGTCTTCCAGAACATCATTAGTCTCCATTTCTATCCGCCAAACAGACTTACAGACTTCAGTAGAATTAAGTGTAGTTATTAAGGTTGGTTAATTTATGTGAGCTCTGTGGTCATTGCAGCAGATCGATTCGACCACAGAGAGTCCCTCCCCATAACTAAACTGTTGCATCCTCATTCCCGTGTTCTCTATTCTCTTTCCTCGTCGTCGTTGTCACAGATGCACTTCATATTGCATACCCAACACATATAAGGAGTCGTCCACTTTTAGTTGCTTATCTACATCCCGTAAAAGTAATAAAATCACTAAACTCTGTTCTCGGACATCATCGAGTGCTCCATCGAATGGTCTACACTGTTGGGCCACGCCATTAATTATCATCAATATTTAATCAATGTAGGTTATAATATATATTAAACATTTTAAATTCTGAGCGGAGTGAGGAAGGTGTTGATCTTACAATGATGTGTGTTTTTTTTT